GGCCGTCCCAGCCAGTGCTGCGGGCTGGGCCTGTCCCCAGCTGCACTCCCAAGCGGAGGACCCCGTCCCGCGCTCAGGCGCGGGGTGGCCGGGTGTGCATCCCAGTGTTTGTGTGAGCATGCTGAGCAGCACCAGAGCCGCCCTGTGGGAGTCCCTTTCGTGACACAAAGCAAGTTTTCTCCGATGTACCTTGTTGTGGGACCGAGCTTCCCTGATGAGAAAGGAGCTTTCTATAACCTTCCTATATAATTTCTTTTCTTTTTAAATCCTCACCGTGGATATGTTTAGAAAGAGGGGGAGAGAGAGAGAGAGAGAGAGAGAGAGAGAGAGAGAGAGACACCCGTTGCCTCCCATACATGTCCTGACTGGGAATTGAACCGGCAACCTTTTTTGGTGCATGGGACAATGCTCCAACCCCCTGAGCCACCCGGCCAGGCCCTATAGCATTTCCTAATTTTCTCCCCTGCTGGCCCATTGCTCAGCACACTTTCCTCTGCTCGGCCCCTCGCCGTCCTTTAACTCTGTCTCTTGAGAGAGCTCACCTTGCCTCCGGTGTGCTCTGTGCCCTTCCTGGTGCCACACACGGATTTCCGCCCTGTTTGTTGGTCTGCATCTCATACCCAAGCATCAGGCATGAGATGTACCCCAAACCCACACCTCATTCTTTTGGTTCATCAGGACCTAACTTGGCAAATATTTGGGGAACAAACAAGGTGCTAGGAGTGTTAAGTCATGAATGGGACAGAGTTTAGGATGGAGAAGGGAGACCAGGAAAGACAGGAGGTTGGGATGAAGGTAGGGCTTGTTTTCTACACACTTTACGCCAATGTGTGAAAAATTAGGAGATCAGGAAGTGCCTCATGTGCAAAACAAACAAACAAAAAATAAAAAAAAGCCCATATTAAGATGTCTGTCAAAATAAAACATCTGAAAAGGCTTTGTGTTTTACTCTGGCCCCAGGCTGGTAACTAGGTTAGAACTGGGGTCATAAAGGAAAGACAGAAATCACAGGTGACTTGTATCATGACTTAACACTGCTCTAACACAATGTCTTGGACACAGCAGGTCTGCAAAATAATTTTTGTCAAAATTACTTAACAGTGTGAGCTTTAAACAATAAAATCAGGTTTGAAAATGTGCATAATTTCTACTAGTTTTCAAGAAAGAATGAGCACTGCAGTTTTGGTTAATTTCGAATTCCCTGCATTCACACATCAGGAGAACATCCTTCCAGGGGTGTGGAAACCCAGGCCGCGTGACATTGAATTATTTGTGTGTGATTCCCATCATTATCTCACCTTATTCCCACAGCCATCCGTCCACACTGTGGTGGCAGATGGTGGTCGTTTGCTGAGGGAACATCCTCTCTTATCCATGTAGCCAGGTTACATCTCTGGAACTGTATGAAGACAATTTACAGAGGAACTGGGTGGTTGCTTATATTCTAGTTAGATTGCAAAGAAAATGCATAGACTGTGAGCTGTGGGCCTTTATGTTGAATTTCCAGACAGCTTATTGTCCAGGGGAAATTCTCTACCTGACATGACACAGGACCCTGTGGACGTGTGCATGGATAGGGTCTGAGCATCCACAGGACGGCACATGAGTTTAGAACATCAGCTGAGCTGCCTTGAACATCCCTCCAAGTGAGTCACTCTGAGCAGCCCGTCCTGCTCCTCTACACAACCGACAACATGGACTTTCTTCACGTAGACTCAACTCCCTCTCGCATCTCCGTTCGTCCCTGGCTAAGTCACCGAGGCTCTTTGCTATGGGTTGTTACTACTCCTGTCTGTCTGTAGTCATGAACGGAGCCAGTGGTTGTGCTTAGATACCCTTAGCTGTGGCATTTCTCCACCAATGACCAGGCACAACATCCGTGGACATAGGAACACGAGGCTGCTGACACACAGAGCAGCCTTGAGGTATTTCTGCAGACTCCCACTAATCTATCTCATTAAGATCTCCTCCATGTCGTGTGCTGAATACTTAATTTCTTCATATCCATCCAGGAACATTCCAGAGAGAAGTCCCTGCCTTAGGGGACCTCGGACCCTGCTCAGCCGGAACACACACTTGCAGGTATGTGCGTCCACCTGCCATGGTTTGTCAAGTTGGGGAGAAAAAGCAAACCACCAACTTCCGTTCCCTGTGTCTGGAACACTCTTTTATTCTGATCCTTCCAAGGCCATTTTCTTCTCATCATTCAGATGTCAGCTTCGTGGTTCACCTCCTGGGACCGGCCTCTCTGGACCAGCCCCTGAGTGCCCACCCTCCCAGCAGTCAGGACGACAGATGCCCCTGGCTCCCCGCCGCCTGGGGGCGTGCGCATCGCCTGCCTTCCTGGCCCGCGGTGTGAGCTCCGTGAGCGCCGGCTCAGCACCGCGCTCCCAGGGGCCGCAGAGCGCCGCCACCGCTGCACAAGCCGACCAGCCTGGTGCACCATGGTCCCCACGACGCGAGCTGTGAGCCACACAGGTTTGCCAAACTTCCCTAGTTCCCATGTTAGAAAAGTAAAAGTGGAATAGGTTAAATTAATTCTAGTGGTATAGTGTATTTAACCCAATATAGGTAAAATTTGTCATTTCCACATATAATCAATGCAAAAATTTTAAATTAGAGGTTGTGCTTTTACTTCCTATTGTCCTCAAAACTCAGTGTGCATTTTATAGGACCCGTACACCTCAAATCAGACCCCAAATTTTCTTTTAAAATAATTGATAGGCATTCAGATTTTGTAACATACCCAGGTTCTTCCAAACATATTTAAACATTTTTAAATGATGAATTAAGGAGTGTATCTCAAATTTTAATTAATAGTAAACAAAATGAAATACTCAATTTCTCAGTCATACCAACCACATTTAGAGTACTCAGTACTGACAAGAGATGACAACACTGGACTGCCCATTTGTAAAACAGTGTTTACATTGCAGTGTTACAATACATGTGATATACATTAAAATGTGGTAATCATCTGAAAATCCGATTGATGCATTTTGTTACTAAAAGTAAAGCATCAACATATATTTTGAAAAGTAAACCATTATTCATAGACTGAGAGAAAATATTTGCAAAAGGACACATCTTCTAAAGGACTGTTATCAAAAATATATCAAGAACACAGACAACAACAAATTGTATTATAATCATCAAACTTACCTAGAGACTAAGAAGCTAATGATTCTAATCACTAAGAAGAAAGGATAATTGTATAACATGACAGAGGTAGTAATTATCACTACAAAAAAGTCATATTATTATACATAAATGTATCAAATTAACATGTTGAGTACCTTACATTTTCATGATGTTATGTCAAATATATTTTAATTTAAAACCTCAATAATAATAAAACAAACAACCAAATTAAAAAATGGGGCAAAGACCTTAGCAGACACCGCACCAAGAAGGTGCCCAGAGCCAAGGCACAGTGGAGAAGGTACTGTGAGGGACACGCAGAGCATCAGTGGCCAGACCCAGGGTACCCACCAGAGGCCAAAGCCGGGACGCTGACAACGCTGGGTGCTGGGGGAGGGGCAACGGGAATCTCAGGCATCGTTGGTGGGAGTGCAACATGGTGCAGACCCCTCGGGAGACACTTTGGTGGTTTCTTTCAAACCTAAACACACTCTTACCTTACTGTCCAGCCACCATGCTCCTTGGTATTCATTCAAAGGAGCCAAAGACTCATTTCCACACAAAAAGTTGCACGTGTATGTTTACAGAAGCTTTATTCATAATCGCCAAATTGGGGGAAAAGCTAAGATGTCCCTGTTAGCAGGTGAGGGAGGAGTAATCTGTCGTCCATCCAGACAGCAGAATACTATTCCGTGTTGAGAAGAAAAGAGCTATAGAGCCATGAAAAGTCTGAAAAGGCTTCATACCATGCAATGACACTGTGGACAAGGCGAAACTATGGAGACAGTGAAAATAACAATGGTGGGTGAGTGGTGGGAGGGAGGTGAGCAGGCAGAGCGTGGGGGGTTTAGGGCCATGAAATTACTCCGTAGACACCCTAACGATGACATTGTACATTTGTCCAAACCTATAGGATGGAGAACACTGCCGAACTCCAAGGTAAACTCTGGACCTTGGGGATTAGGATGTGTCAATGTAGATTTGTCCTTGGGAAAAAACAAGTGCCATTCTGAGTGACGTTGATAGTGGGGAGGCTATGCATGTGTGGGGTGGTCAGTAGGAGGTGTATGGGAGATGTCTGTACCTTCCTCTCAGCTTCTCTTAAAAATAGTCTTAAAAGGCCCTGGCCTCAGCGGTTAGAGCATCAGGCTGTGGACTGGAGAGTCCTGGTTCGGTTCCCGCTGAGGGCATGTACCTCAGTTGCAGTTTGTCCCTGGCCCTGGTTGGGGTCATGTGGGTGGCAACCACTCAATGTGTCCCTCTCACATCGATGCTTCTCTCTCTCTCTCTTCCCCCCTTCTCTCCCTCCCACTCTATCTTAAGATAAATGCAAAAATGTCCTCGGGTGAGGATAAAAAAAAAGTCTTAAAAGCAAAATGACACAAAAACAAAATGAAAAAGTAAACCATTATTAATTTAGAACATGACACAAAGTTATCTCTATATTAAGATCAGTCATTTTTTTACTTCATATGATCCTCAATTCATAAGAACCACGTATTTGTAATTTTAACTGAAACTCCAGAAAAGGGGGTCAAAGGTCATCCCAAGATAATGACCCAGCTCCGCTCCACACTGGGACAAATGTATATGAAAATAATAGGGGGAAATGCATTGCCAAGGATTTCAACCATCAAAACAGGCATGTTTAAAATACTCTGTAAGTGGTTTAAAAATAATCTGTACTCTCAGTCCAGTGGTCATTTGCCAGGGAGAACCAAAGTTGAGATATTTTTATTAAAAACATGAGTCAGAGGGGAAAATGCAGGGTCTGGTACTGAAGGAAATGGTCCAATTTCCGTCCCCATTGGGCCTTCCTCAGGTCACATGCTCTGGGCATCTTTAAAAGGACAGGAACTGGACTCCGATGGGCACAGTGCATCCCAGAGGCTCCAGCTCCTTCTCACCTTGGACAACAGTCCCAGACGGCTCCCAGCATGTGTGATGCATTTGTAGGTACCTGGAAACTCGTCTCCAGTGAAAACTTTGATGACTACATGAAAGAAGTGGGTAAGCAGACACGTGGGAGATTTGCAGTCTTTCCTCTGGGGACAAGGGGCTGTGGCTGTTTTTCACTCTGGAAGCGTTGGCCAGATGGGAAATGCTGTTTCTGCATAGAAGCTGTAAGAAGAGCAAGTGCAAACCATTTGTTCACAGAAACATTGCACACCCAAGTCACAGCCACAGGGAACCAGCATGAAAAGGTCTCAGTGGAAGTTTGGTAGGTCATGGAGCTGACCAGATGCCCCTTGATTGCCGAACCTGGTCTTTGGTTGACTCGGCTGTCTGCTTCTCTTTCATTCCTTCTCGCATGAAAGGGGTGGTAGCCTGGGAATGAAACCGTATTTAGTTCCTTGCAGGCAGCAGTGGCCTTTGACACAGTGTTTGTCATCTTTGTGTAATTTTAAAAGTAAACGTATGTTAACCAATTATTTTATTGTTTTAATGTCAATCTATTTAAATAGGCAGTTGTTTTGTGGGGGACTAAATCTTTTTTTTCTTTTTTCTTGAATTTATTGGGGTAACACTGGTTAATAAAATTATATAGGTTTCAGGTGTACAGTTCTATAATATATTATCCATATATTTGTGTGTTCACCAGCCCAAGTCAAGTCTCCTTCCATCACCATTTATCCCCCCTTTATTCTCTCCTACCTCCCCCCACACCCCCTCCTCTCTGGTAATCACCACATTGTTGTCTGTGTCCATGAGATTTTGAGGATTTTTTTGCTTAGTCCCTTCACCTTTTTCACCCAGCCCCACAAAGTCTTTCACCCCCTCCCCTAAAAGTTTTAATTTTAGAGAGTATGTTCCTCAAAGGGCTTAAATATTTCTGTGACCAGCAAATCCACAGGATACCGTAGAATTACTGAGTAATTTGAAAGGAGAGTGTTACACACCTAGCATCCCTCCTCTTTGATAATAACCGAGACTCCTGGTCCTTATGTTCCATTAATGTTGCTGGGTGCTCTGTGGGGACCCCCAGGTAGTTAGGGAGAGAGTGCAAGGTTGTAGGAAGGCAGCTTCGGGGTTTCTTCACCATGAAAACCTCTCTCCCACATCCCTGTGCATGATCAAGTCCTACCCAGGGGATGAGTTAGGAAAAACGTTCACATAATATCTTTATTAAGGGTTATGGTTTATTCCTTTGAACTGAAGACTTAACCTTTCCCCAAATCATATAGCATATTTTTTGCTTGTTATAACTACTATTTTTCTTGTTTACCGAGATAGAGGGAAATCAGGGACTTCAGCATGAGTGAGTCCTCACTTTCTAGAATATCATTAATTTTGATTCCATAAACTAATATGCACTGATATAGAAATGCCAGGATTTGAAGCTATTTAGCTACTTATTGATTTGTAGAAACATTTTACACTTTTACTATTTATATTTAAATTCTTCTACTACTGTGTTTTAAAGCAACAAAGTACTGATGACAAGACAGTAAGACACCTTCTGAAATCAGCTGCTCTAACATGATCCTTAAGCAGGGGTCACCTTCATCAGTCGAACGAGGGCAGAACGAGGCAGGTGGGAGTGTGATTCTGCCCAAGGCTGGCCACCCCGGAACCATGTTCGACCTTGCATCCAGTCACGGTGCTGACTCACTCCTCATATTTGATGTTATATTTTGTAACTGGGTCAGGACTTGATGAAATGAAATTTTATGTTCCCAGCTGTGGCCACTTCTCTGACAGGGAGCTAAATCTAACCTCAACACCAGTCGTCTTGTTCACTGTTTCTCTCCCCAGTCCCTCATTTCTAACCTCTGGCACCTGTAAGTAACTTTTACTCAAAGCAACAGCTCAAATTTATGTACATGTGTTTCAAAGAACCCAACACAGGCAGTGAGGTGGTTACCGCAGTGCCTGTTGGGTTGAACATTGTTGATCCCACCCCCTTCAGGAGGGAAGTCGATTCCTTGTAAGAAAAGAGAAATGGGTAACTTAGGTGACTGGGAATCAAAGCAGGGATTACTAAACTCACTAAAATAGTGATTTCTTGAATTTTGACATTTTCACGATTGACACCTAGACCCTCTTTAACCTTCCTGTAGCTGAGTGAGGGCCATATCACGGTTCTAAAAGTGGCACAAACGTAGGAAACATTGTGTCTTTGGAGAAATTCCCCAAAGTCTTCATATATGGTGGACTAATGTGAAAAATAATAGGCAGCAAATGCTATGAGAAGTGATTTTTAGACGCCCAAAGAGATGACTTCTTTTTAGCGGAGTAACTCCATATTGGCTTCAAATCCTATTGAGAATTCCGTCTCTGAGTGTGGATTAGATCCTCTGTATCTAAGGAATGGCTGCGGTGGCAGGTGTTCTGTGGGTTGTGTGATACAGCAGAGGCTGCTCTCACGAACGATGCCAGGCGCCTGAGTGCAGTGACTTGTTAAAAACAAGTGTGCTCTGGAAGACTCGTCTTTGTACGTGTTCTTGCTGCAAATTAACACCTGGGCTCCTGGGTGCTGCGTCTGAATGCAGAGGGGCAGCTGAAGGAGCCAGCCTGCAGCCAGTTGTGTGCCATGCGTTTCTTCCCGCGTCCGCCTCTGCACTCACCTGCCGGAGCTGGCTGGAGGAGGTGACTCAGGACTCACTGGTGTCCTTGTGTGCACACGCCCTCACCCACACAGACGAGTGTGCTCACGCACACACACACTGCAGCTTTTTGTTAAATATGTGAGAGAACTGTGAACATGACGTTTCTCCTCTCCTCACCCACAGGAGTGGGCTTTGCCACCAGGAAGGTGGCCGGCATGGCCAAGCCCAACATGATCATCACTGTCAGTGGGGATGTGATGACCATTAAATCTGAAAGCACCTTTAAAAACACGGAGATTTCCTTCAAACTGGGCCAGGAGTTTGACGAAGTCACCGCAGATGACAGAAAAGTCAAGGTGAGGAACAGGGGTTGGGACAGAAAACCCTTCACACAGGCTGGCTGTCCCCGACCTCCCACATCTAAACTACAGTGCCTTCGATGTGTGGTTGGTGAATTGTACTCCTTTTTATCAAGTTGTCATTACTTTAAGAAACAACATAATTTGTCATGTCATATGTATGGTATTTGAAGTGGATTATAGTAACAATGTTAGAGAAATTTATAAAGCATGGGAACATTTTAAAAAAACACAATACTACCATCTCAACATACATTTATTATTGATATTCTTTCACAGTATTTTTTCAAATGCACGTTCGTATAATATTCTGGCCACAATGCATATGTAACGTTGTATGATTTTATTTTTGACATTCGCTTATTTTCTTGTTGCAAGATAGTCTTATAATTTAGAATTTCTAATGACCTCAACGATGCCTTACCACAGAGGTGGCATGTTTTCTAATTTCACTCCCCCCGTATGCAGAGCACCATAACCTTAGATGGAGGCGTCCTTGTGCAGGTGCAGACATGGGACGGGAAGTCCACGACCATCAAGAGGAAGCGCGTGGATGATAAGCTTGTGGTGGTGAGTGTGCTCCAGCCCAGACTCCAGTGCTGGGCCACCGACAGCCGCCGTCCACCGAAGCAGAGCGTTGCTGTTGTTTATGCAGAACAGTGGTTCTGTCGGGGTGTGTTTCACTCTGGCAATGGACTCCCTGAGCACAGCTCACCTGGCATGCTGCCCACCCTCCCCGACCCCCGCCACACGCACCATGTTGCAGTACGAGTTTCTGCTCATATTTCTCACTCCCCATCTGGTTATAAGACTCCTTAAGGGGAAGGCTTGCATTTCCTTGGTCTTGATACCTCCCCGATTTAGTGCAACATCAGGTATGTTAGGGGCCCAGAGCAAATACATTTTGGACGAGTATTGTCTCCTTCCATGTTGGGAAGGAGACAATGAACAAAGCAATGGTTTGGTCCTGTAACTGACCAAGGCTATTTTTGTGTGTCCAGGAATGTACCATGAAAGGTGTCACTTCCACCAGAGTTTACGAGAGAGCGTGAATGAGGGACCTTGGACGGGACCCACGTCTGCATCAAGCTTTGACATTCTGCTGGATACATTGTCCACACACATATTGTCACTTTCCACTAATTAGCAAGCAACTGATTTCCCCCCAATCTGATTTCACTGGTTAAATAAAACATTTTACAGTTAGATGATGTCATGATTTATTCATTGTGCCAGATAATTTCTTATAACACAGAAAGAAAATAGAACATTGTATTATTACTTAGTTTCTGGTGTAAGTAATATGGTTTTTCATAATAATCCAAGGTTAAAAAAAGTAACATTCATGAATTCGTCATTGTCTTTGTAGAAATTAATACACATGTGCTATTACACAGTGTGAAGTTCCTTATTCGTGGATCTTCAGTTAAGTAACTCTTACAGAGACATGAAGTAGTTTGAAAAGTACAGGGACTCACCCTGGCCGGTTTGACTTAGCAGTTAGAGCGTTGGCCTGCGGTCCAGAGACACCTGAGTTCGGTTTCCACTAAGGGCATGTACCTCGGTTGCAGTTTGTTCTTGGCCTGGGTTGGGTCGTGTGGGTGGCAACCACTCAAGGTGTCCCTTTCACGTCGATGTTTCTCTCTTTTTCTCTTTCTCTCTCTCCCTCCCACTCTATCTGAACAAAAAAACGAAAAAATGTCCTCAGGTGAGGATAAAAAATAAAATAAAATAAAAGTACAGGGCCTGGCCAGTATGGCTCGATGGTTGAGTGTCAACCCTGCACCAAGAGGTCGCCGGTTCGATTCCCTGTCAGGGCACATGCCCAGGTTGTGGGTCTGATCCCCAGTGGGGGCATGCAGGAGGTGGCCAATCGATGTTCTGTCTCATCGATGTTTCCATCTCTTTCTCCCTCTTCCATCCCCTCTCTCAAATCAACAAAGAAGAAAAAATTAAAAGTGCAGTAATCCCCCCTTATCCACAGGGGAATTGTGGGGAGACCCCACCCCCATGGCTGCCTGAAACCACCAAGAGTACCAAGCGCAATGCATGCAGAGCTGTGGTGAGGTTTAATGTACGAATCAGGCACAGTGAGAGATGTGCACAACTGACAATAACATAGAACAATTATAACAATATACTAAACAAAAGTTTTGTGAGTGAGGCATCATTAGGCAAAACAGGGCTTACTTGAACACAGGCACCATGACCCCGGAGTACTTGATCTGGTGCCCAGGATGCTACTGAGTGACCCATGGGTGGGAGACAAAGGGACAGTGTCATCACGCTCCTCAGAATGAGTGTCTCTCAAAATGGATGAATTGCTTATTTCTGGAATTTTTTATTTAACTTTATCCTACCTCAGTTGGGCTTGGATAACTAAAGTGGAAAGTGAGACGGTGGTTAGGGGCTGACAGGGCCCCCGCGGCGATGCTGTGGGTTTAGTTCCAGACCACCTGTATAAAGCAAGTAGCACAATCAAGCAACTCACATGAAATTTTTGGTTTCCTGGTGCATATAAAAGTTATGTTTCCACTATTAAGTGTGCAATGGCATTATGTGTAAAAGAATGCACATCCCTTAACTTAAACATTCTTTAGTGCTAAAAATGCTGCCCATCATTTGGGCCTTCAGTGAGTCATCATCCTACTGCTGGTGCAGGGTCTTGTCCTAGTGACATCAGAGGTCACTATAGCAAATAGAATAATAATACTGAAAAAGTTTGAAATATTGTGCAAATTGCCAAAATGTGATCCAGAGATATGACATGAGCAAATGCTGTTGGAAAAATGGCGCCAACAAACTTGCCCGACACAAGGTTGCCACAGACCTTCCACCCGTTCAACTGCAGGGCTTGTGAGGTGTGACAAACCTGAGCTCAGGCCGCCCACAGCCCGGGTTCGGCTGCTCACTCACACCTCCATCCGGGGCACGAGACAGAAGCGCCGTCACAATGTGGTTGTAGGGAGCGATTTCTAGGCTGCCATTTTCAGTCTGAAAAGTTGTCTGTAAACCAAGCCACCTCTGGAGTCTCTCAAGAATCGAGTGTGAACAACCTCATAGTGTTTATTCCGAAAATGAGGCAGCAGCCTTGTCGTGAGTAATGCTGCAAATGTCCTCATAGCGGCTTCCAAGTGCTTCTCATCAGAGCAACTTTTTATTCAAATAAAATATGAATATATTCTGGAATTTTTTATTGAAATGAAATCTCTGTGACATTCCAACATATAACACAGACCAAAAATGGAAATGAGCTTCTCAGGTTAGGTGTGTGTGTGTGTGTGTGTGTGTGTGTGCATGTGAGCTATTTCTCTTGCCCTGAGGAAGCTCTGAAGCATCTCTCCTGATCACTGAAGGTCCATGTACATAGAATAAAACATCTCTTAAAAAGCGTGCTGTACTTGATTGTCATTGTGTTTATGATACTTTCTTTATTTTATATTTTAAATATTTTTATTGATTTTAGAGAGAGGAAGGAGAGAGAGAGAGAAATATCAACGTCAGAGAGAAACATCCATCAGCTGCCTCCTGCACACCCCCTACTGGGGAAGGAGCCTGAAACCCAGGCACACGCCCTGACCAGGAATCAAGCTGGCAACCTTTTACTGCATGAGACAACACCCAACCAACTGAGCCACAGCGGCCAGGGCTACAGTTTTCTGAACAACTCTCCTATATACAACACCAACATACGGTGAGGCCAGAATATATGCTGCTGATCATAAGAATATAGCCAAATGTAGAAACCATCAAGTATCCCTTGACAGGAATGAACAACCGTGATGTGGACGTTCATACAGCAGAGCATCACTTAGCATCACAGGGAATCATGAGACACACTGCAACATAAATGAACCTTGAGGATATGCTGAATGGAACCAACAAGTCTTTCCCCCCCAATACCGTATGATCTCACTGCTATGAGGTACTTAGGGTAGTAAGACCGTAGCGGTGGGATGTGGAATGTGGTTGTCGGGGGAACTGGGGGAAAAGAAAAGAGCTACTGTTTAACGGGGCAGTTTCAGTCCTGCAAGGTGAAGAGGGTTCCAGAGGTGGATGTAGGTGTTGCACGACTATGAATGTGTTTAATTCCCCTGAACTATAAAAAAATTAGAAAAAGCCCTGGTTGGGTTGGCTCAGCGGTTAGAGCATCAGCCCACGGGTTAGAGAGTCCCGGGTTTGTTTCCCGCTAAGGGCATGTACCTCGGTTGTGGTTTGTCCCCAGCCTCGGCTGGGGTCGTGTGGGTGGCGGACAGTCGATGTGTCTCTCTCACATGTATGTTTCTCTCTCTCTCTTTCCCACTTTGTCTGATGATAAATAAAAAATTAAAAAAATAAAAAAATTAGAAAAAAAGAATCTAGTATGACTCCTGTTGAAATATTACACACAGAGCAATAAATTACTGGACATATTTCTGAAAACTTCTGCAGTTCTGGTATGTTTAACTTTATCAGTATGCCTCACCAATGGAGAAGATAGCATCTCAAAGTTAAATTTATTAAAAACTACTTACAATCTAAAATGTCAAGACAAAGGAGGTTTATTTGGACAATGAGATACTGAAGAAGCATATAAAATGAGGAAATGGAGGAATAAGCATTGAAATAACCATGAAAACAAGACGTGTTACTGTTTTATAACAATTTACTGTATTCTGGTTTCTTTACTAGAATTGATGATCAAGAACATTCTAACTCGAAATATTTTTACTTGAGGAAATGGTTTGGGTTTGGTTTCTTTTTTATGCTCACACAAAGGCACCAAAGGCTGTTGGTGGTGCAGCATGACCCGTGGAGAATTGTCTCGGTCGAGGACAGAGACTGGCGTGATGGTGATGAGACACTGAGCAAAGGTGAAGGGAGGCTGAGAATCCCTCTACCAGCTGACGACCACACCAGAGGCTCGTCCTACAAGCAGGCCAGGTGAGAACAACATATTGAAACCTCGTCTCTGGGCACCGCTGGAGAGACTGGGCTCAGCAAAGAGGGAAACCATTCATTAAAAAAAAGTAGACACTGCTTATCGCTTGTCATTCACTCATCATTTACTGAGCACCTACACATAGCGGGTGCTGTCTTAGGGATGCAGAGGTGACGAAGAAATCTTAGCGTGATAACACTCATCAAGCAGGTTGTGGCGCAGCAAGAGGTTAGCTTGCTGCAGTACTAGGAGCAAAGTCCTCTAAGACATTTCTGTGACAGTCGTGTCACGTCATAGGGACCCACGAGCTCTGAGCTGGCATCACAGAGACGTGAGATCTGGAGGGATGGGTGGTGCCATGAGGCTGCACACGGGGCTAACATCTCATGTTGCATGTAGTCGGTTGTTCTGAGTCCAAATGCATCATTCAAGTGCAGCTATTCACAAACACAGGTGCATCACAAAGGCTTAACGTGCAGCTCACAAAGTCTCAGACACAAAACTCTTTAACTATAATGGAATTCATTAATTCACATAGTAAGAATTTCAGAATTGACATGTCCTCGTTCCTGCCTCCTTTGCCTCCTGCCATCCTGTCTCTGCTTTGCATTGAGTTGGTTAACGTAAGAAAGCCCCTGTGCAGGGCAGAAAGGGACCTTCCCTCCAGCCTCTCCAAGGGTGAGGGCATTTATAGAAGCCAGTGGCCTGACGTTCCCATTTGTTTCAGGGCCTCCTGGGTTCTAAAATGGGCCACAGGATGTATTACTGGGCCCATCAACAGCAGGGGAATTGAAGAACGGATGGTTACAGTGGGGGGACCTCTGTCCTGCTAGCCCACTGGCAGACACAAGAGGCCGTGCATGCTTGCTTTGTCCAGAAGGGTGCACGCACACTTAGAACCAGTGCGCGAGGTCTGATCACACGCTGTGCACTGGATCATCGCCGCTGAGAATACTTCCAACTGGGAAGGCACTTACCTTGAGTCCTGGTCCCTTTTCCAAACTGATTCTAGGGTTTTTGCTTCCCATTTTGCCCTCCAGATTTTAATGATTCCACCTATAAATACATTACATTATACATTTCCTCTTTATGTGTTTTCATCAGAAGAAATTCTTCAGCTTACTTAAGTTATAAACGTGTGATGCCAAAACATCAACTTTTTAAAACTTTGTTTTTCCACCAAGAGATGGTTTGAATAAATATTTATTTGAATTGAAGGAATATTTAACATAGGCAGATAACAGTAGGTGAAAATAAGGACAGAGTAATAGATGGGGGGGCTGAAGGAGGGGAGGGATTGAGCAAAAAAGAAAAAAAAGAGAAAAATGAATGCACAGGGAAACAGTGTGGTGACTGCAGGGGTGGGGGAGGTGGGGTAGGGGAGGGTACAAGGTGGTGAATGGTGATGGATAGAGACTGGCCTGGGGTGGTGAACACACAATACAGTGTACAGATAATGTGTAGTGGAATCGTACACCTGAGACCTGTGTAATTTTGTTAGCCAGTGTCACCCCAATAAAGTCCCTAAAAAGGGGAAAAATTTAAATAGTATGAATATTCTTCTTGTAATTTCTAAGCATTCTTCAAAACAACTGGCGCTCAGAGCTGTGACATAAATCTCCAGCCTTGGAATATAACCCTTGTCCGTAAACGCGATAACTGTAGGGTCCATGCCAGTATTCGGGCTGCAGAAGGTGATTTCAGGAGTAATTTCAGAGAGATTCACATTGCCTGCTCCTTTGTCTTTAGCATGCATCTATTGAAATACTATACTTCTCCCCAAAACTTTCCCTCACAATTTCAAGTGGTATCTTTCTTTTTTTTTTCAATCCTCACCTGAGGACATTTTTCCATTTTTTGTTCAGATAGAGTGGGAGGGAGACAGAGGAAGAGAGAGAGAGAGAAACATCAACATGAAAGGGACACATTGAGTAGCTGTCACATACACAACCCAACCAGGGCCAGGGACAAACTGCAACCAAGGTACGCGCCCTTAGCAGGAACCGACCCCGGGTCTCTCTGGACCGCGGGCTGACGCTCTAACTGCTGAGCCAAACCGGCCAGGGCTCAAGTGGTATCTTTTAATATTGAGCTTATTTTGTAAGCCTAAAAGCTGGATTTTACAATCATGATCTCTACCTCCCTGTCTGAGCTTAAATCACAGAACACTAATCCATGATAATTTCTACTTTTATTCCCAGTCCACAATTACTCTTGATGAAGAACTATGATAATATTAATAATAGCCCACACCTCACTCCAAGCAAGTGTATATATTTTAATTACATTAACTGATATCAGTTTATCAGCCCTCAAGGACGGGAGGGAAGATGCTATTTTAGTGAAGAGAGTTCTCAGGCAATGAGGTCTGTGCGAACAAAGAGCAGCTGAGGTGCCACCAAGCAAGGGTGTCCTCATGTCAGGTGGGAAACACCTCGGTCTGGTGTTCCTTAGACATCTCTCAGGAGATTCCTTCAGGGTTAACTAGGCATTCATTCAAAAGGCTGATCTCTGTCGAAAGTTGTTTCCATTCCACAATGCATAGAAGTGATAATCATTGACCTAAATTCAACTTCACATGTTAATTTTCTGCACTTTAATTTGGAGGTTGACACAATGAGTCAGTGCTGGTGCCTGGACGCTGTCATCTTGCTGCTGCCCATTGGCCGTTTCGGAGAGTCACGTGATGAAGGTGCCTTGTAAATGGAGATGCTGGAAGCACTGTATTGCCCACATTTTTTTTTTTTTTTTTGCTCTGGTTGTGAGAGCCTCTTCTCAGCAAGCTCTCCATCATGATTGAGCCCTTCTTGGGAACTTGGAAACTGGAATCCAGTGAACACTTTGAGGAATACTTGGAACAACTGGGTGAGAAACACCACTGCGAGGCTTGGAAAGCGGCCACGCAGGGGGCTGGGTTGGGCTTGTGCTGGCCGGGAGCCCTCCTGCGGCTCTCTCTCCTGTCAGCCCCGGGCACGCTCACACGCGGTTCACAGAGTTTAGGTAGCTCTTTCTGCCTTTTTCATTATTAGCAGTAATTGTCTCTTTTTGGAATACGAGGTTCACATATACTTCCTAGTAATCATGATCCACATATTTAAGTCCATTTATTCTTTTTTTAAAATTCTCACTTGAGGATATTTTTTCATTTATTTTCAGACAGAGTGGGAGGGGAGAGGAGGGAGAGGGAAACATCGATGTGAGAGAGACACATCGATTGGTTGCCTCCCGCACAACCCCAACCAGGGCCAGGGAGGAACTGCAAATGAGGTACTGCCCTTGGTCGGAATCGAACCCACGACTCTGGTCTGCAGGCCAATGTGCTAACCGCAGAGCCAAACCAGCCAGGGATAAGTCTATTTATTCTTTACCAAAGCATTTGCAAAACTAATTTGAAAATAACCCTTTGATAGTTTCTCTGTAACTTGATCATTTTATCAAATAACGTTTCCCAGCTTCACATTTCTGAACACTAACAACGATATATAATTACGTTTGTCAACTGAATGTTCTTTGAGGTTTGCTTTAAGCTGTAACTACAAGAGAGCAGGAACAACAGTTTCCACTTGGTTAATTCTTACAGTTCTGATACCTGTGGAAGATATTTTTAACACATTGTCTTAAAGAATTTCAAAATATTTATTGGAGAAACGGAACTTTTTTCCTCAAGTGTCTCACCACTGGTTGCTTCTCGGAAGTATAAACCCTCCCCACCTTGAGCTCTTACTCAGGCTGCATGGACATCAGTTATAGTGGCTCCGGTATAGCAGTGAAATAATTATTTACTAATGCTAGAAGAACAGTGCTTATTTACTATCTAATCAAGTAATTTTAATAATTAAGAGAACCCTCCGTTGAAATAATAAGCTGTATATATAGTCAATAATTTTTTAACCTTATTTTTTAAACTTGGCTGAAATGATCAATGCACCATTAGTCGATGTGCCTGTAATACAATACTTGTTTCTTTTTCATAATCAGCATTGACTTCTCAGGGACTAGTAGCAAACATGTTCCCTTATCTCTTCATGGATGCATAGACCCACCCGTTTTGAGTGTAAGTTTTGTGGCATCTAAGGCACTTGGGGCTTCTGGAAAGAGGAGCGTGGTGCTGGCGGGAGCTGGGCTTAGGCAGCGGCAGGGGACGAGCTGAGCACTGCTGTGTACCTCCCTGTTGGGGTCCTTCCAGGGGACCGCCCACACACCACCAGGCCGGCCTGCAGCTGCGCACATCTGACTTGTGATGACGTGCGGGCGCTGGCACAGCGGGAGCCCGGGCTTGCACCAGCTCGCCCTTCCTGCTTCCGGGACCCGGAGCCCACACTGCTCCTCTGCAGTCAGGCAGCCCTGCCACCCACCATCGGAGGTGAGATGAGCTTGATGTCCATCCTGGCAGGGGGTCAGCTCTTCTGGCGCCTCTCGCCGGTGTCAAGTGTGACAGTGGACAGTCCCCACCTGCACATCAGGGCTGGTGCCCTGCCAGACAGTCTAGTTCGACACCTTCTTTCTCCTCAGCCAGGTTGGACTGAACCTGCAAGTGAGACAGGAGCCTGGAGAAATGGAATGTTTTCTCCTCATTAAGTTCTGTTCTTTTAAGGCAGTTTAGGTGTTTTGAAAATTGTATTTCTTGATTTTTAAAGAAAAAAAAGTGTGTTAAAATTCTTGGACAATTAGAAAATCTGTGTTTAAGTATCAACTCTGCGACTTACCAGACACATCACCCAGAATGAGCTCCCTACCTCTCTGGGATACCATGTTCTCTGCTCTAAAATGGGGATCATGACACTCCTACTAGCATGGGGTCACCTGCAAGGCAACGTACAAATACTCAGATGACGCACAGGCTCAAAAAAGTGAAGCTAGCTTTGCAAAATGACAAGTACAATTGTGAGACAGACCTCCTGCTTGGAGGGTCTGGCTCAATCCAGCCATCACAGAGAGCATTGAAGAAATCCCTGAACGTCACCCAACACTTCCATGGGGCGAGGGGAGCACGCATTCTTTTCAATTGCTTCCAAAATCATCATGGGCACTTCTTCCTAAACATCTCCAGTAGGGCTGCTGCTTTGTCTGCCTTACAGGAGTGCCCATTACAGTCCGGCACCTGGCAGCATTGGAGAAGCCGACCATCAACATCAGTGCTCATGGGGACAAGGTGAGCATCAAGACACAAACCTCTTTCAAGAACTTTGAGATTGTCTTCAAGCTGGGGGAAGAGTTTGATGAAACCACGGCAGACAACCGGAAAGTAAAGGTAAGAACCATACTGTCCTGGTGTATCCCAACCAGGAAAAAACTAGGAAGTGTTCCGGCAAGGTTTAATCATACCTAATTTGATTAATTACCAAGTCAGTCTGGGCTTGTTTTGTTCATTAATGTTGCACATCTCCAAAGTCGATCTTTTTGAAAATTATTCTGATGATTGTCAAGGCAAAAAAAAAAAAAAAAAAGTAACCTTTTCACTCTTTTTCTGATCTCTCTTTGCCATTGTATATATAGATATAGATATAGATATAGATATATAGATATATAAACATATATCTATAGATATATAGATATATATAGGAGAACAATTACCCACAAATCTTTGGGTATCATTTGTCTGGTGGAGGAGGGAATTAATTGAACAATCTCTGGAGACTTCTCTAGTTTTATGATATTAAATTATAACAAGAACTGAGGGGAGGACTTTGTAGGAAAAAAATTCAAAATAGAAAAATAGTCTTGTGTGGGTTAGAATATAGTGAACTGCTATTTCTAACTGATTTATTTATGCATTTATAGAGCATCCTAACATTGGCTGGCAACTCACTGGTCCATGTCCAGAAATGGCTTGGCAAAGAGACCACAATCAAAAGACAAATTGTCGGTGGAAAAATGGTGGCGGTGAGTTTTCTCCATGGAACATTCTAGATGCTCCTCTTGGAGTGGTCATTCCCTCTGCACCCTGGCTACAGCTCTGGGAAGGGGCACAGCAAGCTTCCCCTGTCAGCTACCCACTCTAACAGACTCCTCTTTGCTTTTAGACACACACCATGAACAGCGTCATCAGCACACGGGTCTTCACAAAGGTTTGAAGGGAGCGTCCACATCAGTGAGATGTACCACCAGCAGAGAACAGGCCTCAAAGGAGATGTGCCTCAGGGCCAGCAGTTTAGAAATTGCTTAATATTAAAAAAATAAAAATTGCTTAATATAAATGTGCTCAATAAAAGCATCAAATTAGGTGCATTTTTGGAGCTGTGTAATGTTGAGAGTTAGGGACAATCTGATAAGTCTGTGGGGCAAGAAGTTACTGGCCTGAGGTGTGATTTTAGGGACAAAAAGCACCTCTGTCCTCCACTCACGTGACTCCCACAGGCCTGGAGTTCCCTCCAGGGAACTGGTCCATGTAGTTTAAAGGATCAGTCAATCGGTGCTTTGTGGAAATCCACGTGACCTCAAAGGGGGAAACTTGATTATCACTGGGCAGCAAAGATGCTAAAAACAAACATTGTTGGCTTTTTATTTTTGCACAAGGCTGGCCCTTTTTAAAGTAATTCAGATGGATGGATGGATGGGTGGATGGATGGGTGGATGGGTGGGTGGATGGGTGGGTGGGTGGGTGGACGGGAGGACAGGAAGACGGGTGTACGGGTGGGTGGGTGGATGGATGGATGGGTGGGTGGGTGGGTACACAAACAAACAGGGAGATAACAAAATAGGACCTGGGCATTATACACTGTGTTTGAATTTCAGCCACGTTTCATCTCATGGCACACATAAACTAGTTACTTAAATCCCGCAGCATGCCAATTATACTTTATGACAATCTAACAACAACAAAAAAGGTGTAATTTTGATTCATCCGCACTGCAAGGCTATTATTGTGTTGCTGTTGTCATTTTTGTATTTCCATAATCTAAGAAAAAAGGGGTGAGTGTCCCTGACTAAACAGTCAGGTGTTGCATGTTTTAAAAATCCATGCAGCACACTGGTTGAAAATTGCTGCTATAGCAGAACATTTAAAAACAATTATTTGTCTTACTTACTCATAAACCCACGTAAAATAACCAGGCTAGTGCATCACCGTCACTGTTCACAACTTAGTCTTTACACAGTGACATTTCATTAAATGCCAGCCTTAAATTTTGAGACATTTAGTAAGATAATAATTGTTGGAATTACACAAAGTCCCTTAATAGTTCCATTAAATTCTATTGCTAGGAAGTACTCTCAGGGCATGGGACAAAACCTAATAATATATGTAAAATTAAAGGATAAAGTCCCCTAAACTGAGGGCATTTGCAGCTGTGGGAGGAGAAAAGGGAGAAAGAATTGTGTAAGTATTTTATTGCACCTTAAATTTAAAAATAGATAATAGGGACTTCCGGTCAAGATGGCCGCGTAGGTAAACGTGGTATCACGTCCTCCCACAGCCACTTCAAAGTTACAACTAAACTACAGAATAACCATCATTCAAAACCGCCTGAAATCAAGCTGAATGGAAGTCCTACAGCTACGACATTACAGCAGCCACATCCAGACTGGTAGGAGGGGCGGAGGGGCGGAGGCGCAAGGGCCAGTGGCAAGATCGGCTGGTCCCATACCCACTTGTGGTGGATAAAAATCAGGAGGACACCTCGGCTGGGAAGGTACTTCCTGAGGACTGAGAGGTCCCCGTCCCACACCAGGTGCCCCTCTCAGGGTTCCAATGCCAGGAAGAGAAGTCCCCATAACTTCTGGCTGGAAAACCAGCGGGAACTGAGGCTCAGGGTAGCTGATGCAGCTGGAGCCCCAGGCAGCTCCTTAAAGGGCCCTCACACAAACTTACCAGATTCCTCCCTCTAAGTTTGGAGGGGAGGCAGCTCAAGGGGAACCAGAGACATACTGGGAAGAACTGAGCTGTTTGGCACTGGAGCGAGGGCTGGAAAGGGGGCTTTCTCCAGGACAAACGTGCTGTTAGAGGCCTTTGTTCCTTTGGTGAGCCCTTCCATGGGGCGGCAGAGAGTCGCCATATCTGGGACTCCAGCAACCTGGCTCACACTGGTAGCCCCGCCCTGCTGACTCCCTGAGGCCCCGCCCCGCCCCGCCCCGCCCAACTTTCAGGCCCACCCAACCTGTTGCCACTTGCTTAACCATAGGATTGGCCTGTCTTGGATCCTGCTTCAGGTTTTCCTAAATTCTTTCAAACGAGCAGCATCTCGTCTCAGCGAGTCCCATACCTCTCATTAAGTAATACACTGAAACAAACACAGGGAGGCAGCCAAAATGAGGAGACAGAGAAACAGGTCCCAAATGAAAGAACAGAACAAAACCCCAAGAAAAGAACTAAGCAAAATGGAGATAAGCAACTTAACAGATGCTGAGTTCAAAATACTGCTTATAAGGATACTCAATGAACTCAGTGAGAATCTCAGTGAACTTAGTGAGGGCCTCAAGAGCATAAAAAAGGACCAGTCAGAAATGATGGATGCACAGACAGAATTGAAGGAGGCATTAACTGAAATAAAGAATAATTTACACAGCTTCAATAGTAGAGTAGGTAAAGCCAAGAAGCAAACCATCGATTTGGAATATAAGGAAGCAAAAAATGCCCAATCAGAACAGCAAACAGAAAAAAGAATCCAAAAAAATGAGGATAGTGTAAGGAGCCTCTGGGACAACTTCAAGCATGCCAACATTCGCATCTTGGGGGTGCCAGGTGGAGAAGAGCGAGAACAAGAAATCGAAAACCTGTTTGAAACAATAATGGCAGAAAACTTTCCTAACTTGGTGAAGGAAACAGACATACAAGTCCAGGAAGCACAGAGAGTCCCAAACAAGATGAACCCCAAGAGGCCCACACCAAGACACATCATCATCAAAATGCAAAAGGTTCAAGACAAAGACAGAATCTTAAAAGCAGCAAGAGAAAAGCAGAAACTACAAGGGAGTTACCATAAGACTGTCAGCTGATTTTTCAAAAGAAACTTTGCAGGCCAGAAGGGAGTGGCAAGAAATATTCAGAGTGATGAAAAGCAAGAACCTACAACCAAGATTACTCTATCCTGCAAAGCTGTCATTTAGAATTGATGGCCATATAGAGAGTTTCCCAGACAAGAAAAAGTTAAAGCAGTTCATCACCACCAAACCATTATTATATGAAATGATGAAGGGTCTTTTTGATGAAAAAGATAAAATATATGAACAAACAAAATGGCAATGAATGCATATCTATCAACAATGGAATCTACAAACAAAATGAACAGGTAGAACAGAAACATTCTCATAGATACAGAGAACATTTTGTTGGTTGCCAGATGGGAGGGGGTTTGAGGGAATGGGTGAAAAAGGTGAAGGGACTAAGAAGTACAAATTCATTGCTAGACTGACAAACCTCAAAGGGAAAGGGTTTGGGGGGTGGGTGGGAAAAAATAAACCAAAGAACTTATATGCATAAGCAATGGACACAGACAATAGTGTGGGAAAAGGCGGGAGGGGGGGCAGGAGTGGGGAGGAGGGGGTCAGTGGGGGAAAAATATGGAACACCTGTAATACATTCTACATTAAACAATAAAGATTTTAAAAAATGGGTAATAGTTTGTTAAAAATAAGTCTGGAGGCATGTTTAATGTGTGCTAAATAGAATGTCCATGTCATTCGTCATCTGAACTGGGTGAGGACTGAAACTGGAAAGGAGCACTATCATTGATTACATCTGGACAACAGGAATAGTTGGGGACTGTCCCAGGTAAGCTGGGGGTGTAGTCATCATGGTAAGGAGGAAATTAAAGTGTGATGTATAGATGGACTGACATGGGGTGGGGGCCAGTACTGAACCTCTGACAAGGAAGAGACCAGGGTTGTCAGATGAAAAACCTGAAGATCTCTGGGCACATAAATCTGGACCTTCAGTGATAGTCTTGGTGGGGGCCACACAGCTACCAGATGTGAGTAATGACAGTCATCCTGATGTGACTTGTCCCTGTCCTTCACTGAAAGACTCAAGTGTATACAAAATGTAACCATGCTTGATCTCCAGAAGATTAAAAAACAAAACAAAACAGAGTATTAGTGAAACCAAGACCTAGTTCTTTGAAAAGGTACACAAGACTGATGAACCTTTAGCCAGACTCACCAAGAAACAAAAAGAGAGAACCCAATAAATAACACCAGGAAAGAAAGAGGTGAAGTAACAACTGTCACCATAGAATACAAAGGATTGTAAGAAAATACTATGAACAATTATACGCCAACAAATTGGACAACCTAGGCAAAATGGACAAATTCCTAGAATAATACAATCTTCCAAAACCCAACCAGGAAGAAGCAGAAAACCTGAACATACCAATAATAACTAAGGAAATTGAAGCTATAATCAATAAATTCCCAGCAAACAAAATCAGAAGACCGGGAATTTTACCAAATGTTCAAAGAAGAATTAACACCTATTCTCCTCAAACTATTTGAAAAAATTCAAGAGTATGAAAGACTTGCAAGTTCAATATATAAGGCCAACATAATCCTAATTCCAAAGCCAGACACACTAGAAAGAAAAAAAATTACAGGCTAATATCTCTGATGAACATAGACACCAAAATCCTCAACAAAACATTAGCAAGTCAGATCTAGCAATATATTAAAAAAATTATTCACCTTGACCAAGTGGGATTTATCCCAGGAATGCAAGGCTGGTACAATATTTGCAATAAATAAATGTGATACACCACATAAACAAAGTGAAAGATAAAAATCATATGATCATATAAATAAGCACAGAAAAAACATTTGACAACATCTAGCACCCATTTTAGATAAAAATGTGGGAATAGAGAAATCATATTTCAACATAATAAAAGCCAGTCAGGCCACATGCCCAAGATGTGGGCCAAATCTCCAGTGGGGGACATGCAGGAGGAAGCCAGTTGATGTTTTCACTCATTGATGTTTCTATCTCTCTCTCTCTCTCTCAATCCTGTCCTCTCTCTAAAATCAGTAAAAAAAATTTTTTTTAAATAATAAATGCATTAGGCCTTCATTGATAGTGAAATATCAAAAAGGAATTGTAAAACTATTAACTGACTGAGGTTTATTTGAACAGAAGCAGGACAAAAGA